AGTCTCATTTCAGTTTGATGGTACAAATGTAACAGGAGTGACATTATTGATATTTTACTATATACACAGCATTTTTGGAAAAAGAAAGCTCAGTGGTGGAATCAAATATGATATTTCAGTCAAAATTCAAGGTATTTATTTCTATTTCATATCATTTATGACCCCTGTGTGAAAGCTTTAGTTATATTTAAGGAAAACATCCCCAAAATAAAGTCAAAGATTTGATCCTTGTGTGTTTCAGATGAAATGAAGACAAACTGATGCAGTAAATATTCTTTTATTGATGAGAAAACTGTGCAGTATAATCTACTTAAGATGCTGAAGATAAACTATACTATACTGCAACAACACAGGAATAGAGCAGCTGTGATAGAATACAGCATTAATGAATCAATAGTACGGAAGTGGAGGAAGCATGAAGATTGAGTTGAATAAAGTTTGATTTATCTGACTGCTTTGTTTCGCTTAATGTGCCTTATAATCTCGTGCAATTTATGGTCCAAAAAATACATATTTGACTTTTTTATTTGGCACACTGCAGTGTAATGTTGCAAAGCACCTCTTTTTAACTTCAGTGGATATTATACATGGTTATGCTCAGGATATGTCAGCCCATTTCTACTGGAAATGCCTTTTGGTTAACCTCTTAAGCCCCAAGCCTACCTGATCTCCTGCCTTTTGCCCCCCTATCAGGGGGCGTTGGGGCTTACGAAGTTAAACTTTCAGCAAGGAATTTGCATTTGCACTGTTACATTTTTATATAGGTTTAATGCACATAAAAACAGCTGCTTGTTTAAGTGAAAATAAATGGATGGGGGTTTTCTGCGCTAGTAAAGTTGTGGAGTTATATTTTGTCTCGCAGAAATTATATCGTCAGTTATATTGTTATCACAAATTTTCAAATATATATCGTGATATATATTTTTGGCCAGATTGCCCTGCCCTAATTGATAATATTTCAAAGAAGAGGGTTGATAGTATTTTCATTTTGCTGGTTAAATATAGAGTTCAAGCAGAGTTTCAGTTTTACTCATTGATGGATAATTTAACATATTTTTCTTCTCTGTGGTGTTTTAAGAATGTGGTGTGTTCTGTTATAGATGGCCATTTGTAATTCAGCCCTATGTTCATGTGACAGTTTTGTTCTTTGTTTTTT